CCAGCCGTTTTGTGAAGGCCTCAAAGGTTTGTTAGCGAACACTAGTGAGCAAAAAGCGTCATGAAGATCAACAAACACAGGTTAGAAAGGTCAGGGAGAGAGCTGTGGACGAGTTTAAAACAAGATTGGGCTATAAGGTAACAGCATAAGAATGTAGATCCCCAAAGAGTGATGTTTAATCCTTTATCTGACAATAGAAAAGAAGGTAGCACAACATGGCTGTTAGCCTGAGCTAACAGGCTGAGCAAAGGGCGTGCATCAGGGAATCATCTGGGATGCAGACTGTAAATAAAATGCTTAAAAAAATCTGAATAGTGTGGCATGCTTTTGAATTCAACCACTTTTACTCCAATACACCTGAACTAAATCCAATGTATTTCATTTGCCTTTATAAATCTCCAAAATTTTAAAGAGCTCACCAATGCGTATATTACATAATATATTCACTATGGGCCGCTATCAGGCTACATGCTAAGGCTGTAATAAGTTGAGTTTTCCAAAGTTTCCATTAAGCCATCGTTGCAGCTTAAAATCATTTTATTCAGATGCCAGAGGAGGAGGTGCAGGAATCATAATAATGTAGCACTCCCCCCACCCCCCATCCCTCACCTGTTGCTGAGCACTGGTGGTCAGCTGGCAGAAAAAGAATGCTGTAATTTGTGAAAATTTGTGAAAACCACAGTCACGGTGAAGCCTAAATGACGACTCCCGTCACTGTTGCAGTTTTCATACAGATGACGTTTGGCATGATTAGCACATTCGCTTGAAAAAACTAATTAGGCATGTGTTTGTTTTATGCTTTTTATTACACCTGAAAAATTTGTCACATTATTTTCAAGGTCAGAAGAATAATTATGTTTTAAAATTTCCACTAATAAATCAATTTGGATAATTTTTTGGTAAATATTGTGATCGTGTTTAATCTTTACTCAGTGTTGTATCATGGCATCCCTGTGTGATGCGTTACAACAACATGGCCATAATTACTCATTAAAAAAGACATACAATTTAAAGCTGGGAGTGAGTACATGTCAAATTGGGAGAGATTTTCAAAACGTTTTATAATTTGGATCAAATTTTACAGAGCATCGCTGGGTAAAACGGCTATTTTCCAGGTATAAAGATTAAAAAAATATATAGCGTCTCCATCTTTGTATAGTTGACATTGTTCCAAGTGGGGATTGTTTTTTTTTAATATATGGCGTGATTCTACCTGTAAAAATATATTCTCCAATAAATAAATATATAAAGATAAATATGTGTATCTAAAAAAAAAAAAAAAAAAAAAAAAAAAAAAAAAAAAAAACTTTTTAAACTTTCAAAAATTTCCCCAAAAGGGTCAAAAAAAAAAAAAAAAATTTTCAA